TAGCACATAATTTTGTTTACATCAGAACCAGAAACAGTAGTAATTTATCTTATTTCCTTCCCGGAGACAAATGCCTCTGTCGGGGCAGGACCCTTATGAAACGCATCTTGTATCCTTTGTACCAATGAGAAATGTTCCTAAAGTCACCTAAATGTATGGACTCTTTAAAAAAAAATGTCAGAGAAGCAGACATGAGAGCTCTTGCCAATAAAGGGGAATTCAGGGGCGCCTGGGTAGCTCAGTTGGTTGAACGTCCAACGCGTGGTCTCAGCTCAGGTCTTGATGTTGGGGTCATGAGTATGAGGTCTGTGTTGGGCTCTGTGCTGAGTATGAACCCTCCTTGAAATGAAATGAAATGAAATGATTAAATCAAAATGAAGGGGAGTTCAGGGCACGTCTGATCAATCCCCACATTATCATTTCCCGGATGGACTCTGCCTCACGTGGTCTCACCCACAGGGTCCGGATGGCATCACCTCCTCTTGGTTCTGTGCGCTTAGGAGCCTCTTCCTGTGTCCTGTGGACCCGTGAACTGGCCGTGCTTGCATAACCCCCCTCCTGGAGGCTCTGGTCCGCATTTTTGGGTTTCCTCCGGAGTCCTGCAACAAGCATTTGTGATCTGGATGTGCCCACCTGCCGGGGCAGTGTTACGAAATCCCCTGGTTCTCCCTCCTCTGAGGACCCCGACCTGTTGGGAGGGCACCCCTTCCCGCCCGGGAGGAAGGACACTCGTGCTTCTAAGTCGAAGAAACCACCCCCTGTGCGCTTTGCGAGACCACGTGCATCCCAAGGCCACTTCTCAGCCTAAGAATCAGGTCTGTGCACATGTTGACAGTGATGATCACCGTAGACGGTGTAGGCTGGCGAGTGGCCCTGCCAATCAAAAACATTCTCCCAATGCAAACGTGGAAATTATGTAAACAAAAAACAAAAAGTCCATTCTAGGGGCGCCTGGGAGGCTCAGTCAGTTAAGCGTCCGACTTTGGCTCAGGTCTTGATCTCGCGGTTTGTGGGTTTTGGGTCCCGCGTTGGGCTCTGTGCTGTCATCTCTGAGCCTGGAGCCTGCTTTGGATTCTGTGTCTCCCTCTCTCTGCCCCTTCCCTGCTGGTGCTCTCTGTCTCTCTCCCTCTCTCTCTCCCTCTCTCTCTCTCTCTCTCTCAAAAATGAATAAACATTAAAAAAAATTTTAGGGGCAAAAAAAAAGAATTTTTTTAGGGGCGTCTGGAGGGCTCAGTCATTTCAGCATCCCACTTCGGCTCAGGTCATGATCTCGAGGTTCGTGGGTTCAAGCCCCAGGTCGGGCTCTGTGCTGACAGCTAGGAGCCTGGAGCCTGCTTCGGATTCTGTGTCTCCCTCTTTCTCTCTCTGCCCCTCCCCTGCTCGTGCTCTGTCTCTCTCTCTCTCTCTCTCTCTCTGTCTCTGAAAAATAAATAAACATTAAAAATTTTTAGGGGGAAAAAAAGAAATTTTTCAGGGGCGCCTGGGGGGGGCTCAGTCATTTCAGCATCCAACTTCGGCTCAGGTCATGATCTCGAGGTTCGTGGGTTCAAGCCCCAGGTCGGGCTCTGTGCTAACATCTGGGAGCCTGGAGCCTGCTTCGGATTCTGTGTCTCCCTCTTTCTCTCTCTCTGCCCCTGCCCTGCTCGTGCTCTGTCTCTCTCTGTCTCGGAAATAAATGAACATTAACCAAAAAGCGAGAGTAAGCACCTTTCGATGGTGACGCTCTGTGGATGTGACTTCGTGGGGACACCTTTCCAAAGGCAGCCGCCCACTCTCAGAGACGCTAAGAGTGTCCTAAGGGCATGCGTCACGTGAAGGTCTTCCTGGTGACAGAAGGTCCAGTGTTGGACGTCCCCGAGGAGAAGGCTTCGCAGCCAGTGGGCACGGGCAGATTCTCCCACGGGACGGTCCAGCGGCCATGGGGTCGGATACCCTTCTGAGTCTGGGCCAACAGCACCAAGGTCTGGGCCGGACTCGCGCTGGGAACCGGCCGAGGGTGGGGGCAGGGAGGGGGCTTCAGTGGCTCAAACTAGTGCCTGCCCACGGCAGCACTTTGAGGGAGGTAGAGCGCTGGGCGGCCCAGTGGCGTGGCCAGGTGCCATGTGGACCAGCGAGATGCGGCGTGGCTCCCTCAGGCCACACAGTGCGCCTGCTGGCAGGGCCGTAAAACCCCGGAATCCGCCAATCCCCACTCCGTACTTTGGCAACGGGGTTTTATTGGGTTGACTCAGCCCCCGGAAGCGTGTGAAAACAGGAACTCGCGGGTCGTTGACTTAACAACAGGCTGATTTATAGCGAGGTCCCGTGGCACGGCGGATGGAACCTGTGGCACAGGGTATGTGGGGGGCGGGGCGAGGGGCAGGAAGAACTCAGTCTCGGGAATCAGCACCTCCTGCGGGGGCCGGACGCCCATGTGTACCCTGAGGGCTGTGTCACAGCATCTCTGCCCACGAGAGGCCGAGGATCCCGGCGGGTGACGAGGCGGGTTTTCTGCACGGACCGAGCTGGTCTTACGTGTGTCCCCACCCCTAGAAACAGAAATGCGGAGTATTTCCCAGCGTGCAATGAGCAGCAGACTCCCTCAATCATAAGCGGAAAGGCGGGGGTATTGAAAAAAAAAAAAGAAAAGCCCGTGTACCTCCGGATGGAATGTGAGGCTGTGATGTCTGTGGGATTCGCGTTTTATGGGACGGAATGTTTGATATTAAAAGTGAGACAGCCGTGGATGGAATGCTCGCTGCCCGGGGTGGGGAATGGGCTTGTAAAACTCTGCATGTGCGAGTGCGCTTTGGGTTCAAGCACAGGAACCCCGTCCCCCGGGGGCCCCGGGGGCCCCAAGCCAAGCCCACACCCTTGTTTGCCCCAGGAGCCCACAGCTGGACAAGCCGGTAATAGGGCGAAATGCAGGGGGGGCGAGGAAAAATCGCCCCCCCAAGATGGCAGCTGCAGAATGGGCTTCAGGGTCACCAAGCGCATCACGGGGCTGGACAGTCGGCGGGCTGTTGCCCTAGAGACAGAGGTTCGCTGTTTGCCCCATTCCTGGGACCGAGCATTTCAGCGAATGTCCTACGTCTTAAGGGGCATGACACAGAAGCTGGAGGCCGAGGGAACAGACCCTGTGACCGGAGGTCCCGCCCTGACCGATGGCCACTCAACTTTTTCTTAAGTTTATCTATTTTATTTTGAGAAACAGACAGTGAGAATGGGGGAGAGAACAGACAGACAGACAGAGAGAGAGGGAGAGTCCCGGGCAGGCTCACAACTGTCAGCACAGAGCCTGATGCGGGGCTCGAACTCACAAACCGTGAGATGCTGACTTGAGCCGAAATCAAGAGTCAGACGCTGAACCGACTGAGCCCCCCGGACGCCCCTGGATGGCCAATGACTTAACCCACCGTGCGTCTGACGGGGAGGCAGAGCGTTCCGTGTCCAGGAAATAAGGACCCGGAGACACAGGGGCCGTGCCCGTCCAGCTGGACGTGGGAGCCACTGCTCTGGACGTAGATGGGTGGGCCTGAGGGGCACGTCCTGGGAGCGCCGCTCGCCCACGGGCTGGTACCCAGCCTCACCAGCATGGACTACAATCACCGGGGAACTGAGAAGAGGACTGCCTCACACAACGCACATTCAGTCTGACTTTACATGTCCTCAATCCCATCCAAGGATCTGGGGCTGTAAGACTTTGCTTGAGTGGCTCTAACAAATAGCCCAGGAGTCTGAGATCCAGGCAGGGCTGAGGCTGGGGGTCTGAGACCCAGGCAGGGCTGAGGCTGGGAGTCTGAGATCCAGGAGGGGCTGAGGTTGGGGGTCTGAGGTCCAGGCAGGGTTGAGGCTGGGAGGCTGAGATCCAGGCAGGGCCGAGGCTGGGGGTCTGAGATCCAGGCAGGACTGAGGCTGGGGGTCTGAGATCCAGGTAGGGCTGACGCTGGGGGCCTGAGGCTCAGCCGAGGCCTGGGGTTTGAGATCCAGGCAGGGTTGATCCTGGGGGTCTGAGGTCCAGGCAGGACTGAGGCTGGGGGTCTGAGGTCCAGGAGGGGCTGAGGCTGGGGGTCTGATGTCCAGGAGGGGCTGAGTTTAGGGGTCTGAGATCCAGGAGGGGCCGAAGCTGGGAATCTGGCATCCAGGCTGGGCCGAGGCTGGGAGTCTGAGATCCAGGCAGGTCTGAGCCTGGGAGTCTGAGATCCAGGCAGGGCCGAGGCTGGGGGTCTGAGATCCATGCAGGGCCGAGGCTGGGAGACTGAGATCCAGGCAGGGCTGAGGCTGGGAGTCTGAGATCCAGGCAAGGCCGAGGCTGGGGGTCTGAGATCCTGGAAGGCCCAGGCTGGGAGTCTCAGATCGAGGCAGGTCTGAGGCTGGGGGTCTGAGACCCAGGCAAGGCCGAGGCTTGGAGGCTGACAATCAGCCAGGGCCAAGGCCAAGAGTCTGAGATCCACACAGGGCTGAGGCTGGGGTTCTGAGATCCAGGCAGGGCTGAGGCTGGGAGACTGAGATCCAGGCAGGGCTGAGGCTGGGAGACTGAGATCCAGGGAGGGCCGAGGCTGGGGGTCTGAGGTCCAGGAGGGGCTGAGCTTGGGGGTCTGAGATCCAGGCAGGACTGAGGCTGGGGTCTGAGGTCAAGGAGGGGCTGAGCTTGGGGGTGTGAGGTCCAGGTGGGGCGGAGTCTCGTTGCTCCTGACCCCTCTCTTGGGCCTGTAGCTCCCGCCTTGTCCTGTGTCCTCTCTTGGGTGTCCCTGTGCTCATGTCTGTGTTCTGGTCCCGCCTTTTAAGGACCCCAGTCCTACGGGATCGGGGAGCCCAGCCTTCTGACCTCGTTCTCATCGCCAGTCTGAAGGTTGGGGCACCAACACGCAAATTTGGGGAGGGCAGGACTGAGCCCACGTACGACAGGGGCGCTTACACGACCCCTTTCCTCAGAGACTCGGGGACGCGGGCACAGAGAGCGCGCCATCGCTCAGGTCCTGTCACAGGGAGCACTCAGGAGCCGCTGGCGTCCCGGACGCGAATCGCCGTGTGATTCCTGGCACAAGACGCAACGCGAGCCGCGCGCTCGCGAGATGAAACCCCGCTCCTAAGCGGCGGATCTCGGGGCTGGGGTCCCCCTGGACCCGCGGAGCTGCCTGCGTTAGCAGGGTCCTGTGATCAGCGAGTGATCGGTCCGGGCGGGCCGGGCGGCTGGCGTGATCAAACGGCCCTGCCGCCGTGTTGACAGGTGAGGCGCGCCCCGGCCCGCGTGCGTCCCCGCACGTTACCTCAGCAGCAGGCGGGGCGGAGCCGAGCCGGCTGGGAGGCGGTTGCCAGGGCAACCGGAGGAGCCCGTCCGCCACTCGGGGACCAGCTCTCGGGATGCTCGCGGAGGCCCATACTAATCAGCGGCCGCCGGGGCCCGCGCGGGCCAGATGACCGGAGCGACGCGCGCGGACGGGCCGCCCGTCACACGCCGGGGGACGGCCGGTCCCGGCTGCCGTGAGCCCCGGGTGCCCCGGGGGGCGAGAAGGAGAGGAGCTGGCTTCTGTTCGGATGCGGTCCGGTTTCGACCGCGTTCCGAGCTTTCCGGGAGACGCTGAAATGAGGGCGCGGGTGCCTGGGGTCCCGGGGAGCTGTCAGCTGGTAGCAGCCGGTTCCCTGCCCCGGGGGCCTCCCTGCAGGGCGACCCTCGGAGCTCGCCCGGGCGGGGGCCCGGCGGGGGGGCGGCCCCGCAGAGGAGGCGGCGCCCTGGCCTTCCCCCCACCCCCGTTCCTCGGGCCTCCCCGCGGTCCAGCAAACACACACCTGTGCCTGCTCCCCGACGCGTGTCCCCGCTGGGGGAGGTCCATCCTGTCCTGTCCAGCTTAGGCGGCACAGAGAGACGACGGGTCCCGTGCTGCGTATCCGTGTCCCTGTGTCGCCATCTCTCTCTCACTCTCTATGTGGCCATAGCCACATCCCACGGGCTCTGTCTGCACAGCCCTGGCACAGACTGGGTCAGTTGCTTGAACCCCGGCGTCCACACCACCCACACGCAAACGCCCTTGAGGTGGGGAATCTGAGAAGGGCGGGACGCCTGGGGGGCTCAGTCGGCTCAGTCGGCGATCTCAGGTTCGTGGGTTCGAGCCCTGCGTCCAGCTCTGCGCTCGCATCGCGGAGCCTGCTGGGGATTCTCTCTCTCTCTCTCTGTCTCTCTCTCTCTCTTTTTGTCTCAAGTCTGCTTTATCGGTCTTTCAAAATAAATAAGTGGAAATTTTTTTTAAAAAAGAAAGAAGCAAAAAACGAATGTGAGAATCAGCGTCCCGGGCGGCATCCCCGTGACCACGTTCACCGGTCAGCCCCGAAACGGCCACGTTCTCCGACTCAGAGGTGAGCGGGGCTGTGGGACGACATGCCCCCCTCCCCCCCACACACAAGGGGGGGGGCTCATCTTGGAGGCTGGGTTGGGGGCATTGCCATCGGGCAGGGGGTGTGGCTTTGTCTCAGCCCTTGCGTTTAAACGCCCTCCAGGGGCATCTGGGGGGCTCAGTCGGTGAAGCCGTGGGCTGGGGCTCAGGTCGTCATCTCAGGGTTCGTGGGTTCGAGCCCCGCCTCTGGGTCTGTGCTCACAGCTCAGAGCCTGGTTGGGATCCCCTCTCTCCCTGTCTCTGCCCCTCCCCTCAAAAATAAATTAACATTAAAAAAAAAAAACGGCTTAAACACTTTGCAGCTGGAGAAAGACAGTCAGCCCCCCAGAAGCCCCCCACGCCCCCCACCCCCCGGGGTGATGCCGGGAACCCCAAATAAACCCAGAACGCGTGTAAATTCCTTTGCCAGCATCTCGGTCCTTCGCGCGAAAGGGAACGGGCAGCTGGGGTCTTTAGCGCCCGTCTTCTGCGTCCACCGATACGTCTGCAATAATCGATGATCATGATTATTGATTTTATTACCCTCACGGCAGCAATCCACCACACGCACCCAGGACCCCAGGGTCATGGTCAGCCGGATTCTTCCTGGTGCGCATGCGCAGATCTGTCTCAGTGCGCCTGGAGGCACAGGACCCCGAGGGGCGCCCGCCTGGGGAGCGGTAGGACGGGTCCTCCCTGCAGCCCTTTCCTCAGGGGACATGTTTCTCTGGGTTTTCCGCTTCCCTCTTGGGAGGTATTGTAACCCATCTTCCAACTTTCCCGGCTTTTCTTCACGCGTTTCTCGCCTTGCCACACAAGGCACAGAGCTGAGGGGCGGCGCAAAGGCGAGCACTGGCGGGTGGCCCTGGGAGTCTGTCTCCAGCACTGAGTCAGGGACTTTCAGGACCTGTGCCCTTTCCAAGGGGACCTTTGGGTCGCGTGTGCTCTCCAAGGGGACCTTCGGGCCCGTGCCCTTTCCAAGGGGACCTTCGGGACCCTTGAGCTTTGCAACGGGACCTTCAGGGGCCATGCCCTTTCCAAGGGGAGCTTTGGGGCCCGTGAGCTCTCCAAAGGGAACTTCTGGCCTGTGCCCTTTCCAAGGGGACTTTCGGGGCCCATGAGCTCTCCAAAGGGACCTACAGGGCCCATGCCCTTTCCAAGGGGAACTTCGGGGCCCGTGCCTTTTCCAAGGAGAGCTTCGGGGCCCGTGAGCTCTCCAAAGGGAACTTCGGGCCCATGCCCTTTCCAAGGGGACCTTTGGGTCGTGTGTGCTCTCCAAAGGGATCTTTGGGCCTGTGCCCTTTCCAAGGGGAACTTCGGGACCCATGCTCTTTCCAAGGGGAGCTTCGAGCCCGTGAGCTTTCCAACGGGACCTTCAGGGGCCATGCCCTTTCCAAGGGGACCTTCAGGGCCCATGAGCTCTCCAAAGGGACCTTCAGGGCCCATGCTCTTTCCAAGGAGACCTTCGGGACCTGTGCCCTTTCCAAGGGGACTTCGGGGCCCGTGAGCTTTCCAAAGGGACCTTCAGGGCCCATGCCCTTTCCAAGGGGACCTTCGGGCCCATGCCCTTTCCAAGGGGACCTTTGGGTCATGTCTGCTCTCCAGAGGGACCTTCAGGGCCCATGCCCTTTCCAAGGGGACCTTCAGGAACCGTGAGCTTTCCAAAGGGACCTTCAGGGGCCATGCCCTTTCCAAGGGGACCTTTGGGGCTCATGAGCTCTCCAAAGGGAACTTCGGGCCCGTGCCCTTTCCAAGGGGACTTCGGGGCCCGTGAGCTTTCGAAAGGGACTTTCAGGGGCCATGCCCTTTCCAAGGGGAGCTTCAGGGCCCGTGAGCTCTCCAAAGGGAACTTCAGGGGCCATGCCTTTTCCAAGGGGACCTTCGGGCCGTGCCCTTTCCAAGGGGACCTTTGGGTCGTGTCTGCTCTCCAAAGGGACCTTCAGGGCCCGTGCCCTTTCCAAGGGGAACTTCGGGGCCCATGCCCTTTCCAAGGGGACCTTCGGGGCCTGTGAGCTCTCCAAAGGGACCTTCGGGGCCCGTGCCCTTTCCAAGGGGACCTTCAGGGCCCGTGAGCTCTCCAAAGGGACCTTCAGGGCCTGTGCCCTTTCCAAGGGGACCTTCGGGGCCTGTGAGCTCTCCAAAGGGGTCTTCGGGGCCCGTGCCCTTTCCAAGGGACCTTCGGAGCCTGTGTGCTCTCGAAGGGGACCTTTGGGACCTCTGCCTTTTCCAAGGGGAACTTCGGGGCCTGTGCCCTTTCCAAGGGGGGCCCCTCATGCACGTTGGCTTTGCTTGTGTGCAGAGGGCACTTGGGGAAGGTGACACCCAGCTCTCAGGGTGCAGCTTACCAGCTCGCACCCTCTAATTACCCGGGGTTAATCTCCAGGCGGAGCCTGGGAGGACCGGTAATCTATGGAGATGTAAGCTAATTACTTAATCACTTGCATTTGTAAATCACATTATTGGAAAAGAAATTACTCCGGTGATCGAATTACAGATATCTATCCGCTAATAGCTCTGATTAACTGGTGATGTTAATCTGTCATTTTGAAAGCTAATATTAACAGCATCAATCTCGCTGGAAACATAAGCAGTTTATGCGAAATAGAACTTGGGTCTATTTAAGGTGCAAGGCGGTGACGTGCTGGGTCTGGGGTGCTGTATGGGTGGGTCACGTTGGCCGGTTAAACCTTTGTGGGTGTCCAAAGCCTGGGGGGTGACACCAGACGGGGACATGTGCCTTTTGACCAGCACCACGAAGGTAGACAGACACAAGGGGACAGGTGATTACCAGAAAGTTCCAAAGGTTGCAGAAAAAAGGATCTCCCCCAGCACCATCAAGAGAGACCCACAGTGTTTACCAAGGGTTTCTTCTCCATGACAACATGTCACCCGACGTTCCAAGGAAGGAAGCATTTATGGGCCAGCAGCTGGGTGACGTTGGTTTCCACTCTAGCAACATAAATTCTATTGTCTTTAACGCACGTCGAGTCACCATAAAGAAAAAGGAATTTCGGGGGCGCCTGGGTGGCTCAGTCCACGTAGGGCAGGTCATGATCTCACGACTTGTGAGTTGGGGCTCTGTCCTGCTCTCCCTCTGCCCCTCCCCCACTCGTGCGTGCTCTCTCTCTAAAAAACAAAAGAATGGGGCGCCTGGGTGGCTCAGTCGGTTGAGCGTCCGACTTCGGCTCAGGTCATGATCATGCGGTCCGTGGGTTCGAGCCCCGCGTCGCGCTCTGTGCTGACAGCTCAGAGCCTGGAGCCTGTTTCAGATTCTGTGTCTCCCTCTCTCTGACCCTGCCTCGTTCATGCTTTGTCTCTCTCTGTCTCAAAAATAAATAAATGTTAAAAAAAATTAAAAAAAAAAACAAAAAAAAAAGGAATACAAATAGAATATGTAGATATTACCTATACAAACATTATATATTATATACATAGAAATAGAAGTGTTATATATGTTATGTTTATAATATATAAGTATAATATATAATATATAAAATTATAATATATATTATAAGCATAATATATATTTACACCATATTATAATTATATATTATATTATATATTACATATTGTAGATTGTCTATTGTATGTTATATGTTATGTATTGTAAGCATTATATATGTTTACACCATATTGTCTTTATCCATTGCTTGGTCAACGGACATCTACATTGTTGATGTACGTGATTTTATAAACAATTACTTTTTTAAAAAAATCACAAGACATCTGGCCAAGAAATGCCAGGTGCCACGGATTTCAGAGGCCACCGCACGTCCCACGATAAACACTGCCTCACAGCACATCCTTAACGCCAGTAAACGTGATCAAGCCACATACCTTAAAGAGCCACAGTTGCATTTCTGGGAAGCTACCCTAGTCCCGGAAAGCTCACGCGAGGACATTACTGCGGCGTGTCTTGTGAGACCCAGAGCATGGACACAGCCACCCCGGTTGATGATTTGTGTTCATGCTTCCCTAGTTGACTCACGGATACGGGTCTGAGGAGACACCCGCCCGCCCTTCTTAACATGTGTCGTTGGCTGTCTCTGGTGATTTTTGGAGAGTTCCTCACAAAGGCCATGGGTTCCTTTCCAGCTGTCTCCTCCCCCTGGAGCCCACGCCTGACACGGGGGGTGGTGAATAGGGAATTGGCCACCTGTCTGTGCCTCACCAGGCAACATCTGTTGGGGAGTAGGGAATATCCTTTCTTCCTATTTAATTTTTAATCTTCTTCTCTCTAGGATGTTGGCAGTAAGAGAGGAGAGCGTACCCGAGTTAGCTTTGTAAAAATGTGCGTCTCTGAGAATCTGATCCTGTGTCTCACGGCCTCTTGTAGAGACGGAAGGCACTGCGACAGTGTTAAAACCCAGCTGGTAAGTGTGGAGACGTTGGTAGGAGCCCTTGAGTGGAAACGTGTTAGGAACAACAAGACGTGAGCCCTTGTAACTCTCCAAGGAAGGTATCACGGAGGGCCATGGGTTGAGCCACGTTGCCTCCTGCCCAGTGGGACCTTATTTGCAGGTGGGACCTTCACAGATGTCGTCAAGTTAAGACGAGGTCACTAGGTTGGGTCTGAATCCAATGGGGCTCCTGTCCTTACAAGAAGACGAGACCAGAACAGAAGCATGTGACCACAGGGGCAGAGATGTGTGTGACGCGTCCACATGCCCAAGAACACCAATGATCACCAGTGGCCACCAGAAGCTGGAGAAAAGCCTTGAGCAGACACTCCCCTGGAGAGACCAGAAGGAGTTACCCGGGGTGACGCCTTGATTTCAAACTTTTGGTCTCCAGAACTATGGGAGAATGAATTCCTGTCATCGGAAGCCCCCTGGTCTGCGGAAATGACGTACCCGGACACAGAGGCTTGTATTGTCAATCGACAGGCTCTTACCGTGTGGCTCCCATCATCTGTGGGGGGTTAGGAGTCTAACAACTGGGAGTAGAAAAGGAGGTGCCCCCAGAGCATTGTGTCTGACCCTCCCCCACCCCTAGAACTGCTGAGGCACACCTGCTGTCTTCAGCCACTACCCCTGAAAAGCTCAGTATTGGTCACCCTGTGTAGGACCAGGGGAAAGAAAGAGAAACCCTTATATTTTCATTGGCTCTTGGTGACCGAAACCCTGCCAAGAACACAAAACACCAGGGTTGCCTGAAATGTGAGGTTTTCCCATCCGAAGCTCTTAGCACGGTTCACGCTTCTCCCAACTTCTCACTGACCTCTGCGTCTGCCCTGGTCTTTCCCCAGCCTCCCGGTGCCCCCATTTTCAAGTTCACTAACCTCCAGCAGAAAGATCAGCCCGCCGGTGGATTCCCTCACTGGTTCTCGTCAGTACCGTGACCGCATAACCTGCTGGTGTGCGTGAAGCTCTGTGGGAAAGACAGGATTTTGCTGCTGTTTCGTAAATTTATAAGTATCCGTTCGCCGGGGAACAGGTCTGCCTTGGGTTCAACCATACTGTAACAGGTCAGGTTGCTGACTTCATGTTGGCTCAACCAAGCTCATGGTCCTTGCGATAATGAGATGTATAAAATGCCATAACATGTTTTAACACGAGTGTGTGCCCACATGGGAAACGTAAAAGAAAATGGAGACAATTCAGGGTGTGTTAGAGGTTCTTAAAGAGCAAAGTAGACTTCAAAAGGACCTGGTTATACAGTAAAACCTTGGATTTCGAGCGTTCTCCAAGATGAGCAAACATGTCTAACAAATTTTAACTTGATAAGCGAGCAATGTCTTGCTTTACGAGGGGTACGTGACACTGAACATCACACGATCACAACTGAGCTGATGGTTCTTTTCTTTTTTTAATGTTTTATTTATTTTTGACACAGAGAGAGACAGAGCGTGAGCAGGGGAGGGGCAGAGAGAAAGAGAGAGACACAGAATCCGAAGCAGGCTCCAGGCTCCGAGCTGTCAGCACAGAGCCTGATGCAGGGGTTGAACTCATGAACCGAGAGATCACAACCTGAGCCGAAGTCGGACGCTTAACCCACTGAGCTACCCAGGCGCCCCTGAGCCAATGGTTCTTGAAATGTGCTTTCATAGACAAGTGCTTTGGATTACAAGCATGCGTCCGGAACAAATTTTGCTTGCAAACCAAGGTTTTAGCATATTCTCATTTTTTTTTCTGTTGATAAATTTGCTGTTGCAGGAATCGAGTGTGTTCTAGAGGGGGAATCAGTATGTTCTTCCTACTGACTTTATAAACCGGGACAACACTTGTATGGATTTCTTTGCATCTCTCTGAGAATTGGCTAATTGTTCGTTTTACTCCGAAACATTCATTCAATTCAATGGCAACCGCAAAGCACATTAAACACACAAAGTTTAATAATTCCACTTCGGCTCTCTTCCTTTTTTTTTTTTTTTTTTTTCTAAAGTAGAATGTTCTCTGTCGGGGCTGGAGAGGATCATTTTTCTCATCGCCCAAAGATATTCTGACGTTTCTGAGAGAGATAAGTTAGCTTTGCCGTTTTCCCCTGATATCTGGTAAATTTGTTAATGCGTTTCCTTTAATAACGTTGACTTTCCACTCTGTCTCATAACTTTGTAAATGGGTCCCAGAGCATCTTTGGCATTTCCTTAGAGAAAGGAATTTCACTTTGATTAAGTTGTAAGGTCTTATCTCTTTCCTCTTCCCGAGTACCTGATGCTCTGAAGCACGTTTTTCAACCTATTTCCACCGCATGCGCAAAGTGGTCACTGAGTGCTAACGTTTTACACTCAATCAAAAAAGAAAAAATCAGCCTATGTAAAAATTCAGAGTGTGTGTTGAATGAATCATTCATACTTCTGATTCCAATGTGAAGGGAACATGGCCAACGTGCAGACATGGCTCCTTACATGTCTAGTCCACACTTACAGCTGAATGTTTAGACGCTTACCGAGGACTCTGGAGTTTTCTGTAATGCCCACGTGGGTTCTCCCAGCCCTTGGGGAGCATATTCTGTGGTGTCTCCTGATGATGCAATGAAGGTAAATCACGGTCCCATGGAGACCTAGAAGCTGCCGTGTCCACATGACGCTTACTCCTCCAGAATTCACAGGGAGGGCATGTGTCTGATCCAACCTAATACGGTCATCAGAGTCCTTTCTTTTGACCCCGAGCTAGGACACGATTACCACCTCGAGGATACTTGCAAGGTCCCATGTTGCAGAACGGACTTCCGACTGAAGACAACTCTACACAGGCAATCCTTTGCAACCCGTTTAGGCGAACGTTCTCATCCTCAAAGGTGAGCATATCCCCAGTTTGTGGTAACGTCAGACCCAGAACTTGGAGCAGTTCATCGGTGTGCTTTCTCCACGGGTATTAAGCAACAGCTCACAAGAGAGGTTGACTCCACGTTGACCAAAGTGGTTCAGAAGCTGTCTTTGGAAATCAACTTTCAAAGGGTAGAGTGTGCTTAGCTCACGACGTTCCTGGTTTCTGCTGTCTCCCCAAGAAGATGGCAGCTGCATAATTTCGTGCATCCTGTTTTTCCTGGTCTTCCCCACCCATGTTTCATGCCATCTGAGACACATCCCTTGTCTTGTGCCTACATCACTCCAGTCTCTGCCCCATGTTCACATGACCACATTTTCATTGTGGCTCGTCATCATTATCGTCGTCTCTTCATGCATGTGTGTGCTGCGATGTGTCCTTATAAGACCACTAATTATATTGGTTTAGGACTCATTTTAGCCTGATTACACCTGCAAAGACCCTACTTCCAAATAGGGTCCTATTCCCCTAATCCCTACCTTCCACATGTCTTCTCTAGGGGACACAATTCAACCCAGAAGTCTCTGTGACGATGGAAGCGTTCCATTCCACACTGTCCAATATGGCAGCCGCCAGCCACGTTTGACTAGGGTGACTGAGGAATTGAATGCTTGCCTTAATTAATTGCAGTTAATTTACATTTAGAACACCACATATGGCTACCGGGCCCTGGAAATGTGACTGAGCCAACCGAAGAGCTGAGTGCTTAATTAACTGTAATAATTTGCATTTAAACAGCCACATGTGCTCATTGGCTGCCATATTGGATGCCATCATTGTGGGAGAGTTGCCAAGTGATGTGAACCAGAGATGAAGCTGTTGTGAATCCTCTGGTCAATCAGGAAGCATTTATTGAGCGCTTACTATGTGCCAGTCCCTGCAGCTATGACCAGTCCTGTCCCCGTGGAGGTGACATTATCACGGCATGGACATACAGTAGAATGATAGATGCCCCAGAAGAAACCACAGCCAGGTGACAGCGTGCAGGGCTGGGACGGACATGTAGCCATATTATTAACGTGTTGGGGGCCAGTCCTCAATGACATTAGAGATGGACAAAGTTTCCAGAGAAACAGTGTTGCCTAGTGGTTCCAAGTGCGGGCCACAGGGACATCCATATTCTAATCCCCATGTGGTGGAGAGAATAATGTCCCCAAAGACGTCCATGTCGGTATCCCTCAAAGCTGTGAATGTGACCGTCTATGACCTTATGGTGTGAATATCTGTGTCCCCCCCAGCTATGCTGAGCTCCTAACCCCCAAGGCAATGATATTAGGAGATGGGGTCTCTGGGCGGAGCTCCTAATCCCCAAGGCAATGATATTACGAGGTGGGGTCTCTGGGTGGTGATTACATCATGAGGGTGAAGCCTTTATTAATGGGATTAATGTTCTTTTCCATGAGACCCCAAGGAGCCCGCTCACCCCTTCGTCCATGTGAGGACCAAAATGGCAGGATGACCATCTAAGAGCCAGGAGGCAGATGTTGATGGCTTTGAGGTGGGAGACCATCCTGATTTTCTGAGTGGGCTCTACATGTGAAATAAGGGTCCTCCTAAGACACAGGCTAAGGGGGGGGGGGTCACCTGTTATGGAGAAAGTGGGCAGCCAAAAGTGAGGTGACGCCCGGGGATTGGAAAGTGCTGGGATCCAACCACAGGAACAGCCAGGAGCCCGGGGACTCAGGTGGCTTCCAGAAGGTGGAGAAGGAGAAGAGACAGGTTCTCCCCTGCCGACATCTTGGTGTCAGGGCCGTGAGACCCATTTTGGACTTCCGCCCTCCAGAACCACCAAGGATACACCCCACAAACAGCTCTTAGCAGCAACCATATGCACTGAGTCTGGGACCCTCTGTATTCAGACTCTGGCTCAGCAAGTCTGGGATCGGGGCACCTTTTCCACATGTCCCTCGCATTCCCCTCCCTCGACTGTACATCAGAGTATAAGGTGAGACAAAATCGAGACACCCCACTGCCCAGCATGAGAATTGTTCTTTTTTTTTTAATTTTTTTTTAACGTTTATTTATTTTTGAGACAGAGAGAGAGCATGAACAGGGGAGGGGCAGAGAGAGAGGAAGACACAGAATCTGAAACAGGCTCCAGGCTCTGAGCCGTCAGCCCAGAGCCCGACGCGGGGCTCGAACTCACGGATTGCGAGATCGTGACCTGGCTGAAGTCGGACGCTTAACCAACTGCACCACCCAGGAGCCCCTTTAATGTTTATTTTTTACAGAGAGAGAGAGAGAGAGAGAGAGAGAGAGAGACAGAGTATGAACGGGGGAGGGTCATAGAGAGAGGGAGACACAGAATCCGAAGGAGGATCCAGGCTCTGAGCCATCAGCAGAGAGCCCTACGTGGGCCTTGAACCCACGAACCGTGAGATCATGACCTGAGCCCAAGTCGGAAGCTTAACTGACTGAGCCACCCAAACGCCCCGAGAATTGTTCTTAAGTAAAAACAAAACAAAACCCAAATGACCTGGCCATCTGTTAAAACCCTGGCAGATCTTTCTAATAGCAATAGTTAGAAGCCACGAATACTCACTGATGTGGTTGGAATAAAGAATTCCTCACAGACACCCGAGAAAAACACAGCTAACGCTTCCCTAAAAGGGCATACGTTTAAGGTCCATCAGCACTGACTAAATAATTAGCCTCAGTCTTGAAAATGGTAGAAACCACAGGCTGTTACATCAGAAGCAAAGAGTGCTTCTCAAATGCTTTTAATCTGTATTTCGACCAAAGATCATACAGTCCAGCTTGAAATGCTTCCTTTAAATTTTTTTAAATGTTTATTTATTTGAGAGACAGAGAAAGAGACAGAAACCTACCTTGGCCATTCATACTTTTAGACAAGATCTAAGATCCTTTCTCTTTTTCTTAAATTTTTTTAATGTTTATTTATTTTTGAGACAGAGAGAGACAGAGTGTGAGCAGGGGAAGGGAAGAGACAGAGGGAGACACAGAATCCGAAGCAGGCTCCAGGGTCTGAGCTGTCAGCCCAGAGCCCGATGTGGGGCTCGAACCCACGAACTGTGAGATCGTGACCTGAGCCGGAGTCGGACGCTTAACCGAATGAGCCCCCCGGGGGGGCCCATGAAATGCTTTCATTAAACTACATGCGAACAGAACATATTTTAAATGACAAACGCATGCAAAGAACCTTGCCTGTCCCAGCCACAGACGGGTAGAGAACTCTGCCTCCTGTCCAGGCATGACAGCGAAGGGAGAAATTTCATTTCTCGTTTGAGCGCATCTTTAGGACTCGGGGCCCCGGGAGCCCCCGTTTTCATCAGCCACCCGCTCTGGGTCCTGTAGATGAGCCCGTCTCACGTCCAGCACCTGTGATGAGCAATTCCATCAGGAGACACAGCGCTGTGCTCCAATTTATTATGCTTAAATCCACGTCCGTTTGCCCCATGAGAGGCTGGATGTTTTCAAACATCGCGGTGACTCAA